AACTATTTTTGTACTGTATGTTCAGATATTGTTCTGATTTTCTCAAAGGACTCGAAAAGAGTATCCTCACAGAAAGGTTTGAGTGTAAAGATAGAATGACATGAAGATGGAAGAGCCATAATAGGTTTTATAACACTTATGCTACACTAAGTGTGGACTGGTAATGCTGCTACTGAAGTAAAGAAAGAAAAGCAGAGCATAAACTACAAATACAGGAAAGAAAGAAGCGGGATTTATCTGTCAGTCCACACAAATGGCGCAAAAGAGCTGAAATGTGTTGGTGTAAACCATGATAAATGAAATAGCTATTTAAAACACAGCTTCTGAAAGACAACACAACTCTGAAGTCAACCTTCGCTTTTTCTCAGCACATGCCTGTTAAGGGAGAGGTGAGGCATTTGCTGACTTACATGTGTTGATATGCGTAGATACTGTAAGGGCTGCTTCAGGTGGCTGCTTTGACGTTATTCCTACTCTTAGTAAAGATTTAGCTCCTGCTTTGTCTAGCCAGAACCCTCTATCCAACAAAGAAGACTGTCAGGCATACCCAAACCTGGCATTGTCAGGCTGGGGTCCTAGTGCCATCCAACTTCTGACCAAATTTCCTGTTCCTAAGAGCATCCATACAGTATACTGTAATGCTGTGATCACTATGCTTTGAAATTGAAATGGTGTAGTACGGCTTTCTTTCAACAACCATGTTTCTATTCTCACTCTTTCTATCCATCCATCCATCATCTTCTGTCTATCCGAAGTAGGGTCAAGGGGGTAGCAGCTTCAGTAGGGAGGCCCCTCTCCCCAGCCACTTAGGTCAGCTCCTCAGGGGGAATCCCGAGGCGCTCCCAGGCCAGTCGAAGAAACATAGTCCCTCCAGTGTGTCCTGGATCTCCCTGTGGGACATGCCCTGAACTCCTCACCAGGGAGGTGTCCCGATGGCATCTTAACCAGATGCCAGAGCCACCTCAACTGTCTCCTCTTGACATGGAGTAGCTCTGCTCTACTCTGAACAGAAAGCCCAATAGTACACTGTATTCAACACTGACGAATTTCATCTCAGAAACAACGAATTTCATCTCAGAAAGAAAAACACGCTTGCTTTAAAGCATAGTGCATTGTTTAAAAGCCCTTTTTTAAGATCTCAACTGAGGTTTCATTGGAAGTTTTATATATATGAACGAGGGATGGTTTAAAAGTTTTGCACAGATCTGAGTATAACCCAGCTTATAATTACTTTGAAGCATTTAATACATATTTCAACAGGTATAAAAGACTCAGAGGGACTCAAACCATCTCTGTCTCTCTTCTGTTCAGTAACAGATGCTGCAATGGTTATTTATGTGGTTGATCTGCTCCACTGCTCTCTCATAACCCCCAGGCCTGCACACACACACACACACATTTTGCACATGCTCACACAGAAGCCATCCGGGGCTGTCACCGTGCCACAGTTCGGAGTCCCGTGTGCCATATGCTCCCATCGGCTCCTGGCAGGAAGGATCGTTCCACGTTCAGCTGGGAGAAATGGTTCAAAGGCCAATGAGGGCCCATCAGGGACAGTCCTGCATTCAAACACACAGAGCAGCAGGAGTTGGCTTCTGTTTAAAACTCTCATCACTATTAACTGGATTCTTTTCAAGCTACCGGCACATTTATTTTATGATAGAAGCCAGAATCATTCTAGCAGCTAATAAGTTAGGTTAAACCTAACCAGCCTAAACAAACAAAATCTGTCTCACAATCTATCAAACATGTATCTGGAGGATTAAATCTTTTATCTTCACTTTGAAGAAAATCTTTATCTCAATTTTTATCATGCCAGAAGGTTTGGTATATTTTTCAGAGTAAGATTTATTCAGCATTCCCATACTGAATGATTACACTTCAATCAAAAGGGAGCAAAAAAGATAAATGTTATCAAGGTTTTTATCACGTGTCCTGTTGCGGCATTTTGAGCTTATATTAAAGCTGTTTCCCACATGTGCCGGAGCAGATTTGCTCTTCAAAAGGATATCTCAAGATGGAGTCCTAATTGCATGACTGAGTTTATCCAGCATCAAGGTAGGCAGGGCACATTGATGTATTAGCAAAATATGTTAGTATGACCTTCAACAGTAGCTATATATATATGTGTGTGTGTGTGTGGGGGGGGATTCGAAGTGTTGTTTATGGGATTATATGAAAAAGTTTGTTACCTGAAGATAGACAGCTGGAAGAATGGTGAGAACTATGAAAGTCCTGCAACACATAGCGCCCAGGAACAGCAAATAACCAGTAGACCCAGCTCTGCGGAACAGAAATATTCCCAGCTAGACACATACAAAGCATTTCCCTGGGGTAGCCACCCACACACTGGTATGTTGTCAATAAGGCTCAGAATGAGCAGCGCCAATGCCAAATAGACACAGTCCTAGACCCAAGGCACAAATTACCCTAACTACCAAGTCAAACTGTGCAGCTTATGCCTGCAACCACTTCCCAATTGTTAAGCATGGCCTGTCTCAACCTCCAGCCTCAAAACAGACAGGGGCAGAACCCCCAGAGACACAACACAGGCACCAGCTCACTGTTGCCGGCAGAACTGAGAATGACCGTTTAGAAGAAAATTACAATATACTGTGGGAAGCGGCTACTGAAAGGTCAATAGGCAGGGATACCCACCATCGGCCTAGCACAGCCCTGTGGTTTGCCAAACTTATCCCCTGGAGCCAAAGACCATCATATCAAGCCTTAGATGCGGTAACTTGGCCCAAGCACCCTCACAAAGAATACCCAACAAAGAGAAGCAAGCAGCTCCCATGGTGCTGTCAGAGAGACCCATGACTATAGCTTAGTTCCAGCTACACTAGACCAGGTACTGCAGGGGGTGAAAGAGGACAACTACTGAGTCCAGCAGGATCTGCCCCACTGCATGGTGATGCAGTTGGAGCTTAAGTTTCGTGAGTTTACAAATAAAAAAAACAGAACCTTTTGACAGAACTAGATCTTACAGGCTGATCAGTCGCAAATATCTTCTTGCTTTTTCGCTCTACTTAAGATTCAAAGTTTTTGAAGACCCACCAGCTTTTGTGGTAGTACAACTTATGAGACTCTGATCAATCAGTAAGAGGTGGACTTAAGATAATGTTAGAGATATGCTGAAACCCGAAATTGCATTAAGGTTTTTGGTTTTAAAGAAACTTTTAACTGAAATATCAATAACTTGTATCCCAGCTTCATTGTACCTCCCTGTATTATGCCACTACAATGACATTTATTCTTTACTGATGATTTCTTCACTTTATATTGGCTTGCTATGAAAATGTTGTTTTTTTCTTCATTTTTTACGATAATTTCTCCAGTTTTTTTGAACAATAAAGAGACCTTAAGATTTCACCAAATAATATAATCAACCATCTGCAAAGTATTTTAGAAGAGAAAATACTTAGTAAAAGGTAAAATATGGTGAATTCACGTTTGCATCATCTTTAGTCCGCTTTTATCTTATTTCTTTGATTTTAAGCAAGTTTTCTGGATTTAGTTTTAACATTTTAGACATAAAATCTTATTAAATATATATTTATAACTATATTAATGCCATTTATATCAAGGGAATTCCCAATAATCTGACATGCTTCACTTTGAATTAAGATAATCAACCATACCTCTCAATTCAGGCCTTCCAGTGTTTTACCTGACATTTATATGAGAGACATTTATAATATCTCTTCATATTTTACCCTCAAGGCCAGAGCCACCAATGATGTGTGCTGGTTTTAAACTGATAGCCTATAGGGAATTGAAGTGCAGACAGTTGATTTGTCTATTAATACAGCAGGCCAAGTTGCACTGTGCATTTAGTGGAGATTTAAGCATTAAAGTCACATTAATTCACCACTTGATGTGTTAAGCACCACTGGTCCCTAGTTATCTGCTAACTTCTTATTAATTGTTTCCCCAAAAATTGGTCATGATACTTTTGTCTTCTATAAGATACCTTTATATGCTGTTTGTCTATGGATCTCTGATGCAGTTTTATACCTGGGTTTTTATGGAATAGATTACGGAAAACACCAGGTGTGCAAGTATTTTGTAGCTTTCTTACATTTCTGTACCTCAGTAACATAAATATTCTTGTTCCAAAATGATAACAATAAGTTGCACATGCTTGAATTGGTTTTCCGTTACAACCCTGGAATCTGAAGATAAACTAAACATGATCCATGATTCCTACAGCATGTTTAATACGACCTGAAATACCCTGAGGAAGTTCATTTTGTTAAAGGTTTGATCAGTTTTTTCAAATCAGTGTTTAACTTCCCGTCCTTACAGTGATTAGGTTTATTGAGGTTTAGTGACACTTGTTGCTGAGCAGCTCTCTTAAGGCCCAAACAAGGTCATTTTGATTAGATTGAGGTCTAGACTTTGACATTGCCATTACAAAGCATTGATCCCTTTCCTTCTCAATCATTATCTTATGTTGCTGTTTTGTTTGGGACCATTGTCTGCTGTGTGACCTGTTGTATTCCAAACTTCAGCTTTCAGAGAAAGAGTCTTAGATTCATGGTAGTTTACAGAACACTGAATTTTTAATACATTAACTGCTAAGTAAGCAATAATTGTTACCCTTCAAACTTTGAAAGCATGGTTCCTGCTGCAATATTGTTTTTCGAAGGAATTGATTTTTTCAAGGCAGTCTTCCAAAGCAGCTACATTTGTTCAGTTTTTGTTCATTCCTCGAGTTTGAGATGGAGCCCTTTTTTGTTTTTGTTTTAATTCCCATGGAAATGGCTTTATAACCTTTCCCAGATTGATTAGGTCTAAAGTCAATGCTGATATCTTTCTGCTCTAGCATTTTGTTTACTAAAACAAATGCTATATTAGAGAGGTTTTTTGATTACTGATAACCGTTTTTTGTAGTGTATTTGTTTAGCAGAATCTGCATGTTACTGTATTAATTATTATTTTGTTCCTACTTGAAAAGATTGCTGTTCTTCTAATTTTTATATTACCTCTGTGTGCAGATATTCGTGATCGCAGAAAGAAGCCCGTCATGCTGTTTATTCACGGAGGCTCTTACATGGAAGGCACTGGAAACATGTTTGATGCCAGCGTCCTCGCCGCCTACGGCAACGTGATCGTAGTGACCATGAACTACCGACTGGGCGTGCTGGGTAAGTGATCCACAAAACCCATTTGGACATCCTGTTCATAGCAATGCACGCACAAACAAATTCATTTTCTGATATGCAGCCCCTTCACTCATCAGTTATGTATGAAAACACACGAGTCGGTTTCCCACAGCAGACCAAACATCTTTTATCTGAATTGATTACGCTGATGATGGATGACTTTAATAAAAATGCATCAGCTTAATGACAGCCCGTGCGGGCATCGATCATAAGGGCTCATTCTATCAGCAGCTTAATATTTCTGTCTAAAAGCTGTGATTGTGTAATTAAGCAAGTTTTTTGAATATTTACTCACCTCAGGATCTGGTTTGATAACAGTTTGAAGGCAACCCTTCAATATTTAGACGCTTTCCCTCTCCAACAGACCTGACTCAAACAGTTGAATTCCCTCATACTGATGAGGGAATTCAGCCTCAGCTCTCCAGAGGCCTGGTAATAAGCCATCTATTTGATTAACGTGTTTTGGACACAAGATGAATGTTAAAGCTGCAGGATAATAGATCTTCAAGACTGGACTGGCCTCCTCTTCATAGTTTATAGTTATATTTTCTAAATTAAGGTTCTGAAGGTTCATTAAAGGATTCATAAACCTTATCATAATGTATCTTTATAACTCAAACAGCTCTTACTCAACAGGGAAGGTGCTTTGTTAACAATGCTTTACAAAGATTTTGCATTATTAATAATACAGTGCTATTATATAATCTATCTTTCTAAATGACTTAGGTACTCTTGATTAGAAGACTTTTAAAAGACTACAATTAAGTCAACCTGTTTGACAGAAAAGGCAAAGAAACTTGGACCTTTTCTCAGTTTTAATTTACTTTTTAAATGCATAAGTCAAAACTCAGTCAATAAGCACTAGGTTATAATAAGAGCAATAGTTTCTGATGGTTATAGTGTTGCTGCGGATATAGTTTCACCTTTGCCACATACTGAACCTTTAGTTTTCGGCTTGCATATCTTTCCCACATTATAACCATTCAGCTTTAATTCATAAAAGGTCAGTCACTGACATTTGTTAGATACAGCCATGTGCTCTAAGGGCAAATATCCTTGAACTTACACCTTCAATACACTCTTTCAGTGCCATTTTTTATAAAGCGACTTTGCTTTTGTTATTCATGAGGCGGCTGTATTGTCTGTTTGATTGGAACATTCAGAGAGATTGCTTTGAGAAAAGAGGGTTAACAGGCATGGGAATCAAACTCATTGTATTTATTTTCACTGGCTTAGAAAGGCATCTCATAAATAACTTCCACAGTATTCCTTCTCTTGCATATCCTGTCCCTAAACAGCTGTCTAGTAGCTGTAATCATAAGTCACTCTTAAAAGAAAAGGAAACCCCAGAGAGAACCTCAGCACAACAAAACCTAGTTGGTTTGTACTTTATGTTGTTGAGAAAAAGTGATGGTTTGGGCAACTTTTGAGGGAGAATTTACAGGCCAAATGCTGCAAACAACAATGTATATCCTTTTAGTACCATTAACGGAAAGATGATGAGCTTTAGCTTTATTTTTGAACCAGTGACGTTCTCCTCCACAACCTCGTCATCCTTCTGCTGAAAGTACCTAACGTCTCCGCCCGTTTGTTGCTCACCACACTCTGTCTCGCTCCATTGAGATCAAGTAATTTAGCTGTGAGAGGAGGAACATGCCTCTGAGGAGCCAGGTGCAAAGCAAAGGAAACTAAGTGCATTAGATATTTCATTAGCTCTAAAGAGAGTGGGCTCCTGGAAGCCGTTTCTAAAAGAGAGAGAAAAAGAAAAAGAAATGCCTGTCTTTGATTTGTTTGGTGGCACTCTTAAAGTGCATTATGTTGTTGTTTTTGCACCACTTACATTCCTTTTATAGTGGTGACACATTCCCATTTGCATATAATTACCTAAAGTGTTTGCTTTTTCAGTGGTTCTTTATTTAACTCATCAGTGTTTCTTAGGTTCACAAGAAAATTGCAATCCCTAATGTGAATTTCACCTTGGATCCAAAGTGCAGACGTCTAGATGTAGACTAGATGTTCACTGGGTATTTATGTCAAAGCAAACTCTTGTCCTTGAATGTCTGAGTTTGGCAACTCTCTGTTCTGCATCCCATTTTACACTAAGGTCTACTTGCCGTCTCTTAATCCTGTTCTTGATAAATGTGAAAGACCAAACTTATACACATGTTTAACATTTAAAATCAACTTTGATTTCATTATGTGAAAAAATAATTAACAAAAGAACAAACTTCAATACAAAATAGCCTAAATGATAAATAACATGGAATTGGGCCCAACTCAACTGAGGTCAACTGAACAGTGACTAACTCAAACAAAAAACTGACCTACTGAAAAGGAACAGAGGCTGAAGTGGAGTGGAAGGCAAGGCAAGACAAGGCAAAAGGCAAGGCAAATTTATTTGTATAGCACGATTCAGTACAAAGACAATGCAAAGTGCTTTACATGATTAAAATACAGGAAGATAAAACAGAATCAAAGCAAGTAGGAAAAAATAAATAAATAAATAAAATACAATAAAAAATGCAGAAACAAAAAATGATATAAAAAAAGTTGAACTAATGATGTTTCAGTTGAACTGTTTATCTAGAACAGTCGAAGGCAGTCCTAAACAAATGTGTTTTTAGTCTTTATCTAAAGGAACTCTTTCCACACTTTTAAAGTTTTCTGGAAGTTTGTTCCAGATAAGTGGAGCATAGGAACTAAATGCTGCTTCTTCATGTTTAGTTCTGGTTCTAGGTATCCAGAGCAGGCTGGAGCCAGAAGACCTGAGTGTTCTGGAGGGTTGATACACTGAATAACCCAAAGTTGCCACATGAGTGACGCACAATGTAATGGGGAACCAAAACATCAAAAAATCCATACAAACTTAAACATATTAAACAAATAAAACAATTATTTTAACAAGATATCAAGGTCAACTTAACCCCCCCCACCCCCACCCCACCCCCCTCCATTCAGACATGTTACCCAAAGTGTGCACCCATTAGAAAATATACATCTAATTGGAATAACTTAAACTAAATATGGAACTGAACGGCAATTATGAAAAACTATACAAACACTTTGTGGTGTGGGTAGAAAGATTCACCACAATAGAGGACAAAGGAGAGATGGTAGTAGAGCTGAGCGATATGGCCTTATAATCACGTCTCTATATTTTGCGGTATAATTGGAATGGCGATAAAATTTACAATAATAACCATAATTAATTATTTGAAGTAATTCTAAAGCAACTGTATCTGTGAGTGCATGGCAGAGCAATCAGAGCAACCATAAACACCAACCTTGAAAAAATCTGCTAATTTAAAATAGGGATCTTTAGGACACCAGTTTCATAAAGTAGTTTGATTTATATCATCAAACATCCCGTAAAAGCAGCATTTAATCATATTCTTCAATTTTGCCAATGCTTTAATGGAAAAAGAAGAAAAATATTTAAAATAACATTCACAATTCACCCAGTTTTTAAGTTCTGTTTCGTCACTAATTATAATATAATGTTTAGAGAATAGGTCAAAAATTTGTATCATAACTAGAATAGACTCAGAATATTTCCCCTAATTTACCAAGTGAGGTAGTTTCAGTAATGTAATCTTCTCCTTGTTGGAGAATACGTTATTTCTATTCCATTAAATGACTTCCCAAACTATAGGAATGTAGCATTTTTGTATGAAATCTCAAGGCTGCATCATTTACTTCAGGGATTTGTGGATGCTGTAATCCATTTAAGGCGGATCCTAATTGCTTCCAAATGGGTTGATAAAATAAATTTCCTCTGAAACATTCAGTCATGCAGATTTCAGAGTTTCTCTGAATGAGATTTGGGTTTTGCAGTCTTAAGCTGAATGGTGTAGAAGGAACGCCTATGAAAATAAAAGATGCTTAAATCTCTGACTGAGAGCAATCTTCAAAAATATAAAGAAAACATCAACTTCCTATATGTTGCAATGCTTTTGATTATAGCTAACAAATATAGGCTGTGTGATTTCCATGTGCTGCTGGTTGAGCAGTGTGGAGAATTTACTTCCCCAGACTGACTCTGTGACTGACTCTGTGACAGTCCTTCAACACATTCCTTAAGTCAAGGAGAGAGCAAATTGAGCAACTGACTTTGTTGTTTGCATGCAAAAAAAAGACAGCCAGCTCTATCTCCCAAATATGAGAGCCATCCAGAGCAATTTGGCTCTGATTGGGAGAAATGTGCGTAATCCTTCACCCCATGCATCCCATTTGTGATGGATTGCATTTTGCTTTGACAGAGACAGAGAAGTCAGTGTGTGGGTTAGAAACGTGCTTTTGAGTCGTGGTTTTTCTTTGAGCGCATTTAGCTGTGCGCACCCATGCATATCAATGTCCGCTTTGCAGATATGCTGTACGACAATTTCTGCTGTTTGCCGTTCTTACCCCAGCAATCCGACATGCTGATTTGGAAAGGCAAGTCGGGAATTATTGACACAGTTACGTGATGTCGTCAGGAGAAAATCTACACTGAATAAATAGTGAATATCAGTATTTGACCAAGCTTTTTTACATTGCCCCTGTAATCAAGCCTCACTGTTACACTACAATATCCCTTTGTGTTTGTAAAGTTAGCTGTGTAAGAGCTCACTTTCGAGCTTTACCACAGGTTTTATGTCATTGGGATCTCTGCTTAGTCTTCATAGAGAATGACTGATGCTAATAATCTTAGGACAACAATGGCTATACTACTCTACCAATTCAGAGGTCTTTTAAAGAAGCTGAACCTTCTGCTTCGGCTTCTTAATAATACTTCTGAATTTGTTAAGGTTGGATTCCTGGCTCCAAGTTTCAGTTGATTATACAAACATAATTAGTATGTCAATGATTACAGCATAGTGATGATCTTTAAAATCAATCAATGTGTGATTAATTTTTTTAAATTAATAATCAAATAGTTAAAGGTTCTTTAAAGAAGTTCTTTACTCAATTGTACCAGGTGAAAATAAAACTTTTCTACATCA